CCATTGGCCCCCTCCACCCTGCTCCCGCCCCCTCCTCAAGCCTTTCCCACATTCTAACACTTAAACTAGCTATGAGATCTCACATTCAATAGTGCGCAAGAATTAAAGATCGTGCATTCTGCATTCTGTGGGCCATTTAGAGCATTTTCATGGGTAATTTTCACCATAAAGGCGTAGTCGCGCACCCCGACTCTAGCTTCCCACAGCTGTTTCCAATCTATCCTATTAGTGCAGGCATGCCTCATTTTACTGCGAGTTGTTTTACTGCGTTTCACAGGTGTTTTATTTTTTGCAAATTGAAGGCAAGACCCTCCACCAACAAAAAGATTAGGACTCCCTTTATTGCAGTGGTCCTGAACAGAACCTACAATGTCTCCGAGGTATGCCTGTGTTCAGCGGACAGGGAAAAGAGCAGGCTCAGGGAACCCATCCTTAACTTCCTATTTTATCTGAGTCATGCTTGAAAGGTAAATTTTATCTCCTCAACTACCTCCTGACTTTTCCGGAGTTGAATGGATCCGGAAAGGTGGATAGACCACGGCACGGTGTCCGCCGTGGGCTGCAGGGACACTCCCGGAATTGTTATTTAAATTCCGCTTGGAGCCTGTGGCCTCGGGGTGGCCCAGGAAGGGGTGTTCCTCCCTTCCGCTGGGTGACCGCGGGGCGCGCACAGCCCGCAGGTAACCCGCCGGACGCCGCTTACCTCCCGCAGGCCCCTCTCCCAGCCCACCCAGCGCCACAGGAACCCGGCCTGGGGCCACGCCCCGCCTATTTCCGGATTTGTCGCCGTCGCGTGCGCGATGACGTCCCTGGCTGTTGTGGACCCGGAAGTGCAACTCGAACTAGTTCGGGGCGCGGATCCCGAGAGAGAAAGTCACTACCGCCGCACGAGGGAGTTCGCTGGGCGAGCTGGAAGGCCACGCCTCCTCCCGCCTCCCCCCGCAGCCCTGTAGCTGGGGGCAGAGCTCAGGTAGGACCTCGGTTTGCTGGGCTGTGAGCTCCCGGGCAGGCCCCGGCTGTAATCAGAGCAAGGGGCTGGCTTGGTCCTTCTCAGGGGGGGTTGTTGGCCCCAGGGCCGGAGGCTCCCCGGAGATACGCCGCTTTTCCTGCAGACACCCCTGCCCTGTGTCCTGGACCCCGCTGATGGGCAGTTTCCACCTGCCATTTCCACTTCCGTGGTGGGACAGGACACGTGTGTTCCTAAATGATGTTCCTTACACCTGGACTTGGGGTTCTGGGCGCCCTAAAGACCGTAGAGTAATGGGCCCTCCTCGGCTTTCTCAGGCGGTTCTCTGGTTAAAGATTATTTTCCTACAAAAACTGTCAACTGCCAATGCTTTACCAAAAGCCATTTACTACAGACAGAAATTTACAGTGGGGCTCTAAAAGGTTCTCAAAAGTTGCAACATGCATGGACGCTGGTGGGACATTTAACTGGGATGAATTCTTAGTTGAATACTTTTGACTTGGAAATGAAGTTAGGTATATTTTTGAAGCAGTCAGTTTCTCTCCGTCCAGGGGTTTAACATATTCTTCTAGTGCTCCGGGGTGTATATCTGTTGGGCCAAGTAATTAGTTACTTAATTTTTGGCTATATTTATTGAAAACCAACTTTGTTGCATTTGTCCATTTCCCCGAATCCTCTGAAAAGTTGTAAAGGGAAAATTTTGTGGTTTTCAGACTACCAAGTTCCTTGTAACTTTTATCAAAATATGTGCAATGTGATGTTTGCTATGAAATACATAGTATCATTTGCCTTAGAGCTGTGTTAGGGGTAAATCTCTTTAGCTTTGTTCTTTATCCAGCATTGTGAGGGACAGATATACTATATCCATTTAGCTTATTTAGAAACTTGAGTCAGCACTGTTTGAAGCGCTTAAGGTCTTACTGTCATCGCTGGTACCAGGCTTCTGTCTGACAAACTAGGTGTTCGTCCCACTTCACTGCTGAAGCCTAACAGGGATGCTCTGGAGGGCTTTGAGGCAGTGGCTGCTGCGAGGCTGGTAGATGGTACGAAGGCAAGAGGGAAGTGTGCTGTGTGAAACTGTGAATATCCGTCTATTCATTTAACAAATATTTATCAGCTACCTTCAGCGTGCCAGGTAGTGTTATAGGTTCTGGGAATACAATCGTGGCCAATAAAGTCCTTGTGCTCCTGCAGTTACATTGTACAGTAAACCCTCTATTTTGCAGACCTTGATTTAATGGACAAAATTTCCGGTCCATATGTAATATGTGAAAATTAACACCCTGTTAATTTTAAAGTGCTTTTAACCAAGATTTGCTTATAATTAAATTAACGGGGTTTTTTATGTTATTAATTCGCTGTTACTTTTTACAGATTTTAGCAAATAGGCCATATGTTGGAAAAAACACTAGTAATTTTGCTGACATAAATATTACATATCTACAACTATAGTATACATATTTTAATCCAAGAGTCACCACTCTTAATATTTGGAGAATGATTAGCACGTGATCACACCACATGGTGAGTGGTAATTGGTTCTATTGACAGGTGGTATGACTTTCTGTAACAGTTTTAAAGTGTGCCTGCTGGCCCAGGTTCCCAGCACACAAAGCCATGCCCCAGCCATGTGCATTTGTTTGCTAGTGGTGACTGGCGAATGCATGCATTTACTAGACCTATTCAGTATAAATTTAAAATTACAGTAATACATAGAGAAAACTTTTCTGTGAAATTAAACTTTTCATACCTACTAATTTTAATCACACGAATGTGTCTACATTAGTAAAAATGGGTAAACTGATTTGTCAATTTTTTAACATACACATCTGGAAAAACTACTTTATTATATAATAGACTTTCAGCTTTAACGGACACCCTCTCATTTGAATTAGTCCATTATATCGAGGTTCTTACTATAGTAGATGAAGAAAGAAAAATAATAATCATATATATATCTATATATCGAGTAGTGATAAGAGCTATGAAGAAAAATAAAGCTCATTAAGGGCAGATCGAATGATGGAGGATGCTGTTTTAAATAGGGTGGTCAAACTCAGCCTCCCTGATAAGGGGACATTTTTTTGAGTAGAGATCTGAATGAGGTGAGTGGAGGACAGGTGTTTTAGGTTATTAACAAAAGGCCTTGAGGCAAGAGTATGTTTGGTATATCTTGGAATAGCAAGAGTGTAGGCATGGAGGCATTAAGTTTCAAAAATCTTGAGAGCAAATATTTATTCAGTGATTTGGTGTGTGCATGAGGGATGTTATTTATTGACAGCCTATTTTTCTCAGCTTTCCTAAGCTAACCTCTATGAGGAGAACCTGATGTTCTTATATATGTGAAGATGTTTTCATGCTCTACATTAGCACTAACAAAGTCAAGCACCATTTACTCACTTGTACATAACGTGCACTGTTTTAAAGTCAGGTTGGGTTTGCATAGTAGCCATGGATAACTAAATATCAAGTACTTCTCTATGTCACTTTACTTTTCATTCATTTTTTTTATTGTGGTCAAATATACATAACATAAATTTACTATTGTAACTATTTTTAATGGTATATGTCAATGCCATTAAGTACATTCACGATATACAACCATCACTACCATTCATCTTTAGAACTTTTCATCTTCGTCAAATAAAAATTGGTACTCTTTAAACATTAACTCCCAGTCCCCCCCTCTCCTCAACCCCAGCAACCACCAATCTACTTTTTGTCTCTTCGAATTTTCTGTCTCTATTCTAAGTACCTCATATAAGTAGAATCATACAATATTTGTCCTTTTGTAGCTGGCTTATTTCACTTAGCACAATGTCTTCAAGGTTTATCCATGCTGTAGCCTGTGTTAAAATATCCTTAGGCTGGATCATATGCCATTGTATGCATATTACACATTTTGTTTATCCATTCATTTGTTCGTGGATGCTTGTGTTGCTCCCACCTTTTGGTTACTATGAATAATGCTGCTATGAACGTGGCTGTGAAAATTGGCTTTCATTTCTTATAGGTATATACCCAGAATTGGAATTGCCAGGTCATATGGTAATTCAGTGTCTAATTTTTTAGGAATTGTCTTACTGTTATCCAGAGTGGCTACATTATTTCATATCTCCTCCAGCAATACACAGAGGTTTTAATTTCTCCCCTCCTCACCAACACTTCACATCCTTGCCAGACAAGATTTCTGTTTTTTATCTAATGGGTACGAAGTAGTGTCTCCTGGACGTTTGATTTGCATTCCCCTAATGATTCGTGATGTTAAGCATCTTTTCATATGTTTTGGGGACATATATATATCTTCTTTGAAGTACTATCCATTTGTTTTAAGAACTTTAATAGAAATTCTTGGAGATTGGTTGCCTTCCTCATGTGCCTGGCCAAGGATCTAGCCTGCAACCAAGGTACATGCCCTTAGCCTGAATTGAACCTGGGACCCTTCAATCCACAATCCAGTGTTCTAACCACTGAGCTAAACTGGCTAGGGCTTGGGTAAATCTTTTAAGGTTAAAAAATGCAGTCACTATGTCTTCTGTTGCTTTTTTAACCCTAAAATACTATAATCGTAAAAGCTTCAATGTCTAGACCAAGTGTATGCAATAACTTCAAACTTAGAAATAAAAGAAACTATAGCATCTTTTGCAACAATGAATGAACCTTTGAGTATCAGATTGTGATGAAAATGCTTCAGAAAAGCCAGAGATCATCCTAACATGCTTTGATATTTTTTTTCTTTTTAATTAGAAGAAAAGGGGTGTATTGATTGATTGGCGGACTGTGCCTGTGAAGTAGATCCCTTTGTCTGGTAGCTGAGAAAAGCAGGAAACAGAAGAGACAAAAATAATGAAGAAACCGAGAAAAGAAATGTTGGATAGCAGTGTAGCATTTGGATGTGGCTAAATGGAGAGTGGCAAAGATCAGTAATAGTAGTGGATGGTAAGCACCAGAACTGACAGTAGAGGTGAGGGGACCCAGCGACAAACTGACAAAGTAATTTTGCTCCACAGATTGGAATGGAGTGGGGGATAGGATGAGAGAGTGTAAATCACCAGCTACATCTCAACATGTGGTTCTGAAGTCAGTCACTTGAGAAACTCAGTAAGACCGACTACATCAAGTAATGTATGTCAGTCCATCTGGTTCAACAGTTAGTCTTTGGGAGGTGTGTAGTCTATATAGTCCTGCTATAAGTTTTTCAGACCATGTATCACAATTTCTTAATCCTCACCTGAGGATATGTTTTTATTGTTTTGTTTTGTTTTGTGGTGGGTTTTTTTTTGAGACCGAAAGGGGGAAGAGAAAGGGGGGCGGAGAGAAACATTGATTGGCTCTCTCCCCTATTCTCCCTGACTGGGAATTGAATCCTCAACCTTTTGGTGTACAGGCTGATGCTCAACTAACTGAGCCACCTGGCCAGGGCAAATATTACTGTATTTAAAATTTTTATTTTTTAAAATGCCAACTGGTTTCAAGAAGTGTCAATTACCTGTGCCAATATAAGAGAGTCATGGTTTGGCTGTTCCAAAAATGGGAGTAGTCATGTAGGCTTGGTTTTGGAAAGTATTTTTGACCTGATTCTACTTTCTGAGGAGTTACTATTATTATTCTGGGATCACTGCAGTCTTATTTTTATTACTGTATATCTTTTTTGCCTTGGATGTTGCTGAACTGTATGGGAGAATACTAGATAATTATGCCCCCTATGATTCTGCACAGAGCAGAATTTGCAAATTGGAGACCCCCAGGCTAAATAGACCTGCACAATCTTCAATGTTTTAAAATTAGTTTCCAAGTATGTAAAAATCTAGGTTTTTTGTTTTTTCCTGAAAAATCTGAACTTCCAGCACACTGAATCTTCAATCTGTGTAGCAACAGTGAGGCAAAGAGCATTTCCCTTGAAGTGAGCCATGTGTTTTCCAATTGTTACAGTCTTCACACTGAGGCAGTCTAAGCTGGGTCTCACTGCTTGCATTTACTATTAACTTTCTGATGCTTGCAGG